CTGTGGGGGGGGGCCTGCAGAACGGATTGTGAAGGCCTCCTGGCAGCCATCTTTGACTTTGACCCTGCCTAGCGACAGAGGATGTCTGAAATGTGATTGGTTAAATGCTTTTATGTGAAAATACATGTCTGGAAGCAGCGCAACCAGGGGGAAAGCTATGAAAGGAAGCTGACAGACTATTTCGAGATATTTAATTTAAGTTTTCATGGACAAAATATAATTAACATCAGTCTGTGATTCAGATATTTTCTTAGGCCTTCAGAGAAGGCCTTGAAGGCCCTGACGGCCCACCACTGCTATCTATCTATCTATCTATCTATCTATCTATCTATCTATCTATCTATCTATCTATCTATCTATCTATTTATCTATCTATCTATCTATCTATCTATCCATCTATCTATCTAGCAAAAATACAAATGAAAACATTTGTAAAACATCTTTTTTACTTTCTGACCTGGATATTCTGGGCTTTTCTACCTTTTTTGGAAGCTTAACGGAGGTATAAAAGAGACTTTTTTCAGGACACACCCTGAAAAGTGCACTTAAATAATCAAATCAAAGGCATTCTGAGGAAGTCTTCTCAAGATAGGAGCAAAGTTCACGGCTGAATCATGGATTTAGAAGAAGAATTAAGAGTTAACTCCCACAGGAACAGCTGGGCAGATGCAATCTTCTCTGTTCAGACTGAGAGAAGAGTAAAGGTCAGAATGACCAAAGACGATGAATCACTCAGTGATGGTGAAACGATTAAGAATCCCAATCGTCTGGAAATGTCTGTTTATACAGTAATTTTACTCCACTACATATTTTTGATTAACTTAATACTTTCTCGGGCTGATTCGTTACTCGATACTGATATGTAAACGTAATGAATCCTCCCCAGTCATAGAGTCAGAGCCAGAGCTGTAGATAGCTCTGTCAGGGTTTGGGAAGCTGGCTCCTCATTGGCCGATTTGAGCCATCAAGCATAGCCTATTAAAAAAAGCCTCCTGAAAGATTGGAAGAGATTGATGCTTCATGTTGATGCTTCTGTTCCATCTTAAGGTTCTCCACCAGGCTGAACCTAGCCTTTGGAGAAGTTTTATTTGTTTTTTTGTTTTCTGTTTTTTGCAAAAACCTGTATAGCCTTTTCACACGTTTGAAATAATATAAACAATATCTATCACACTTTTGACTGTACAGTACTTGTACTTTAAATACTTGAGCAGCAATTTTTGAAATACTTCTACTTGCTTCTACTTGCAATACTTCTGTACTTCCACTTAAGTATGGTGTTGAAAGAACACTTCAACTTTTACTCAACTCCATTTTTTTATATAGTACTTCTACTCCACTTCTCTAATCCAGTACAGTACTCTATAGATAGATAGATAGATAGATAGATAGATAGATAGATAGATAGATAGATAGATAGATAGATAGATAGATAGATAGATAGATACTTTATTGATCCCCAAGGGGAAATTCAAGAACTATTTTATACATCTCTGAGCACCACACTCGTCCTTTAAACACTGAACTAAAATGCTGATAGATAGATAGATAGATAGATAGATAGATAGATAGATAGATAGAT